GCGTTCAAATGATGTGAACGTGCTTTCTAGTCACATATACTTCTCCCTGGTCAAGTGCACGGTCAGGCCACAGCATCTAAGGGCTCCCAAAGAAATGCATTTCAGGGTTGGTGCCATTTCTGAGGATTATATGGCTCCACAGGGTGTGGATGCTTAAGTACGGGGAACTGGTATTGCTGGAGGAGTTCAGCACAGCAGCGGAAGACCAAAACCAAGCAATCTCACTCCAGGCGATTTGTTTCCAGCTGCTGCTAGATTGTCAAAGGAGAACCGGAGACATCTGACAGTGACTTCCAGGCCACCGCTCTGCACAGGGAGGGGGTAACCATTTGACTGATGTGTGCCTGCCACTGAGAGTCCAGTGGGTTCCCAAATTATTTACTCCAGTCCCACTGGGCTGCCAAACAGAGCAGCGGGGAGGTCTCCTCAAAAGGGAAGGAGAGAGTGAAGAGCAGGGGCAGCTTTTATGCAATGTAGGAACTACGAGGTTCCTGCTTTGCATTGGTGTAAAATGGGGACCTTTTATTTGCCAAGGGCCATTTGAATATTTACAACATCATCCATGGGCCATACAAAATTAGCTGATAAGAAAAGTTCCTGAATTGTAACTCTGGTTTATGGAATGCTAAACCTCATGTTGTTTTTTTTAAATGTCACATTGCCTCCAACTTGGTTATAATCTTACAGTTTATTAAGCAGATAGATACATCCATATACTTATTGATATCCATGATCATTTCAGAGAGCCATTTCAGACACATTCAAACACAAAATTGATCACAACCCATACTAAGGACAAAACAACCATTCAAATGCCAACTCAAGGAAGCGTTCAAATGATGTGAACGTGCTTTCTAGTCACATATACTTCTCCCTGGTCAAGTGCACGGTCAGGCCACAGCATCTAAGGGCTCCCAAAGAAATGCATTTCAGGGTTGGTGCCATTTCTGAGGATTATATGGCTCCACAGGGTGTGGATGCTTAAGTACGGGGAACTGGTATTGCTGGAGGAGTTCAGCACAGCAGCGGAAGACCAAAACCAAGCAATCTCACTCCAGGCGATTTGTTTCCAGCTGCTGCTAGATTGTCAAAGGAGAACCGGAGACATCTGACAGTGACTTCCAGGCCACCGCTCTGCACAGGGAGGGGGTAACCATTTGACTGATGTGTGCCTGCCACTGAGAGTCCAGTGGGTTCCCCAAATTATTTACTCCAGTCCCACTGGGCTGCCAAACAGAGCAGCGGGGAGGTCTCCTCAAAAGGGAAGGAGAGAGTGAAGAGCAGGGGCAGCTTTTATGCAATGTAGGAACTACGAGGTTCCTGCTTTGCATTGGTGTAAAATGGGGACCTTTTATTTGCCAAGGGCCATTTGAATATTTATAACATCATTCATGGGTCATACAAAATTATCAACTTAAAAATTAGCCTGCTATATTTGGCCAAACATTTGATTAACTCACCCCTACTGCCTTGGCAGGGCGAGACCGGATGATTTCACAGTCCTTATACCGCCCATAGGCCGATGTTCCCCACCCCTGGTTAAAAGAGCACATGGATTACATGTGTTCACCTAGTAAAGAAGGACATCTCATTGTCTTTGGTATGTCTAGGCCTGAAGGAATAAGGGAAGGAGGAGGGTCCCAGGACCCGGAGACAATAGCTGCAGAAAAGGCACATTGGACTGGAGCTCTGCAGCCCAGGGACATAGCCAGTTCATGTTTGTTTGTTTATTTGCTAAACTTCTTCCTGTTTGGTTCTGCTCAGGAAAGCCTCCACTTTTATAGCCTGCTATGTCTGTTGAGGTGTGTCCCTAAAAAAAGACAGTTTTCACCATTCATGAATTTCTACCATCTTTGTAGGTTAACAAGCTCAAACTGCAGCAATATTTCTTTTTCTTTCCATGACAGGTATAAAGTTCTTAACACGATGACTAGCACATAATAAATATCTAATAAATAAGGAAGGAAGACTTGATATCAGGAAACTGGAAAAATAAGACTAAAGATCTGGAGCCAGGTGCAGCCACCATGGAAACAGTAAGTGAAATAAGTCAGACAAAGATAACTACTGTGTACGCTCATATATGGACTCTAAAACAAGCAAGCAAACAAAAAACACACCAAACTCATAGAAAAAAAGATCAGACTTGTGATTACCAGAGGTGGGGAAAGGAGGAATTAGAGCAGTGGTTCTCAGCCTTCCTAATGCCGCGACCCTTTAATACAGTTCCTCATGTTGTGATGAACCCCAATTTCATTGTTACAAATTGAACATAATTAAAGCATAGTGATTAATCACAAAAGCAATATGTAATTATATATGTGTTTTCCGATGGTCTTAGGCGACCCCTGTGAAAGGGTCGTTCGACCCCCAAAGGGGTCGTGACCCACAGGTTGAGAACCGCTGAATTAGAGAAAGATGGTCCAAAGGTACAAACCACGGTTACAAGCTAAGGACCAGGGATGTGATGTACCACACAAAGACTATAGCTAACACTGCTGTATGGTACATGCCAAAGTTGTTAGAAAGTAACTCCTAAGAGTTCTCATCACAAGAATTTTCTTTCTTTTTCTTTTAATTGTATCTATATGAGAAGATGGTTGTTAGCTGAACCTATTGCTATCATTTCACAATATATGTAAATCAAACCATCATGCTATACACCTTCAACTTATATAGTGATGAATATCGATTCTTTCTCAATAAAATCTACACTAATAAAAGAGAAACATGGTAATTAGCGTACGACCGCTACCCTTCCCATTGGCTAATCAGCATATCCTTATGCAAATTAACTGTCAGCCAAGATGGCGGCAGGCAGCCATGCACTGAAGCGAGCAGGGAGGCTTGCTTGCTCC